CACTCGCTAACCCTTTAACAATGTTCAATCTCTTATCCCAATCCAACTCTGCCGCTTCTTCTGGGTTGCTCAAAACTGTCCTCAAGCTCCCCCTTTCTACAAACTCATAGATCAGGAATGAATACTCTGCATTAGAACAAAAACCATACAACTTGACAATGTTACGATGTCATATGTCCGCTAAAGCACGAATCTCGCTTTCAAATGCTTGCAAATTGATGGATTGATTGTCATCTGATAGGTTAAGTTTCTTAACCGCAACAACTCGACCAGTTGGCAGCAAAGCTTTGTAAACATTTCCATATCCTCCTGAGCCAATGCAATAGTTGGAGTTGAATTGCTCCGTAGCTTGAAGAATGTTTTCATAGAGGATTTCCCCATCATATCCCCATATGGCAAATATATCTTGAAATTGGCGCTCTTTCATCTCAGATTTTTTATGACGAACAAGAAGTAAACACCCCACCAAGATAAATAACAGAGATAGAACGCCCAAAACTGGTGTAATGATTAAAATTACGAGTCCGCTGCTGCTTTTCTTCTGGCTTTTGGATAAACAATGCGGGAGGCCAGTGGCATTGCCGCAGAGACCTTTATTGTTTCTAAGAGCATTGAATGGGGCACCAAGGAAAGCTTTAATAAGTGGGATAGGGCCCTCTAACTGATTATAAGAGATGTTAACATATGTTAAGCTCTTCAATTCATCAAAAGTAGGAGGAATGAAACCGGAGAGCTTATTATGAGAAAGATTCAGTATTTCCAACACACGTGATCCTCCAAGCTCTTGTGGAATCTCTCCTGTTAATTTATTCCAACTCAAATCAAGAGTTTCAAGGGCAAATATTTTGCTTATTTCGGATGGAATACTTTCCTCAATTAGATTGTTGCTCAGGTTCAATTGTAATAACCTGAAGCAATTCCCAAGTTGATCTGGAATTGGTCCAACCAGATTGTTCCTTGCCAAGCTAAGTTGTTGCAGATTAACCAGGTTTCCTATCTCTGGTGGGATTCGGCCAATGAGTTGGTTGTCATTTAGCAAGAGATAAACCAGGGTTGTCAGCTTGCCTATTTCCTTAGGAATCTCCCCACTCAACTGATTTAAAGAGAGGTCAAGCCCATTCAATTGAGTGGCTTGAGCTAGCTGAGGAGGTATCCTACCAGATACCTTATTGTTGGAGATCCTCAAGCTTGTAAGGTTAGGACAAAGACCCCAATTTGGAGAAACTTCACCGTACAACTTATTATTGCTCAAATCAATATAATCCAACTTGGGATATATCCCAAAGGCCTCTGTTATATCCCCATCAAGTTGGTTCCCTTCAAGCCGTACTCTGATTAAACTAGAGCAATTTTTCAGACTTTTTGGTATGGGACCCGTGAAATGATTGTTTTGTGCTGAAATGTTTGTGAGAAATCCCCCAAGGCAAATATTCTCAGGCAAATTGCCAACAAGGTTGTTATAACGCAATTGTAAATGTACCAAAGTAGTAAGGTTATTCATTTCTACAGGAATTGGACCAGATAAGCTATTATTGGAAAGATATAGCTCTCTAAGTCTTGTAAAGTTTCCTATAGAAGCAGGGATAACACCGGTGAGATTATTTTCTGACAATTGCAAGCTAAGAAGTGCACCATTAATCATTCCTATTTCACTAGGAATAGAGCCAGAGAGCTTATTGTCATAAAGGTAAAGATACACTAAGTTACTTAAATTTCCTATTGATGTAGGGATTGAACCAGTTAGCGAGTTACTAGAAAAATCAAGCAAATAAGGAGATCTCATCATCCCAACTTCTTGAGGTATAGAACCATTGAGCCTATTGCCTTGAAGTTGAAATTGAAGTAGTGAACTCAACCTTCCTATTTCACTAGGAATAGAACCAGATAGCTCATTTTCAGAAAGGTAAAGCCATTGACAATTGCTTAAGTTTCCTATTGATGCAGGGATTGGACCAGTAAAGGAATTGAGATGAAGGAAAAGAATAATAACTGAACTCATCATTCCAA